TTTTAATTTCATTGTACTATGTGAATTATTTTTGTTAATCATATTTCAATTATTTTATTAAATTAATACTCATTTTGGTCATTTTATAACTAAATTTACTTTTATTCAATCATAATTTAAATAACTTTTTAACCAATATCACTTTTACAAACTAACTTTTCTGAATTCCAATCTAAATATAATTTAGCTTATCCAATTTAACTTTTATCTAACTTTATTGTTTCAAAAACTACTTTTTTAATCGCTGATCTAAAAAGACCCTTAATCAGTGCTCAAATGCTGATCCAAACAGGGCCTTAGATTTACATCACACTCGACTTCTGCTTTCTTTCCTTTTTTTTTTTTTTGGCCGGAAGACTTCTGCTTTCTCACACCTTGTGTCCCACGTGCACCCCCCAAGCTTTATCCCGCTTTACATCACATCGTCCGAGTTGCGTCAAAAAGTTTTTGCTATCTTCCTGTTGTTTTCAGAGTTTTTTCTGCTTGCTGGTTCTGCTATCTCCTAGGGGTTACCAGGTGCTCCTTCAAAGCTAGAACTCATCCCTCGCCTCTAGTCCCGGGTTTATTAATCATTAGCCCCTGGACTTGCAAACCAATCATTAGCCCCTGAACTCATCCCATGGCTTTTTAAATTGATGAATTTATATGAAGAATTGTGTTTTCACATAAATTAATATTTTTTATATAAAAAGTTATACAGGAAATTACAATACTCTTCCGATTTAAATATAAGATCCTTATACTGTTTGATGAATATTTGTTGTTTTTCTAAGATAACTGTACGTATTTATAAGATGTAACTCTTGGCAGAAAGAATATTAAATAACTTTTACTTTTAATTATTTAAATTATGTTGGTTCATACATGGTTGTGATTTTTAATTAAAGAAGTATTTTTCTAAGAGACATCTCTTCAAGACATCGTTCATAGACCATTCACCATTATTCCATTTGAACAAGAAAGATAAAATACAATACAAATACACCAACATCAAATTTATTGTTTTTATCTTTGAGAGCACACAAAAATAAAGTCAAATTATTATTTTGTAAAAATTATTGTTGTCTTGATTTAAATATTGAGAGAACAATCCGTATTTAATATTACTTCCGATCCTTAATATAAGACCCTATTTGAATTTTATTTTGGTCCTAAATATAAGACCCCAATCCATTTTGTTTATCATATTTATACATTTTTTCTAAAGTAACCCTTCTAATAATAAGAATTCTAGTCAATACACTTGATTAGCAAGGATATTTTAGGAAAGACAACACCTATTTAGGACATATAATTAACTCAATTTACTTCTTTACTCTCCTCAAATTAGCCAACTAGTTTTTATAATTAGGACCGGAGGTAGTAGTTTTCATTGTTTCTGAAAGAAATTCGTGAGTCACCTATTAATGTGTAGTGTATGGAATAATGTATCTAGTTTCTACAAAGAGATATGTATGGTAGAACTAATTGGTTAAAAAAAAATGCATGTTAGAATTAGAGTACCGGGTGTGTTTGGATAAAACCAAACCGTGGTTTGGAAAAGTGATTCTGGAAAATAGATTTTGGGAAGAATAGATTCTGGAAAGAATAGATTTTATGAAAAAGTGATTTTGAGAAGTAAGAGTGTTTGAATAGTTGTTATCAGAAGCACTTTTTATATATACAAATTACTAAAAAAAAGACATAAGTTAATATGATAATTACAGAAAAATAGATTTTATGATATATTTTAATTTGAAGGAATAAAATTGTTAATAATATATTTTTTATTAACATAATTAATAATACATAAGATAATATAATTAATAAATAATTAATATGTATATATATTTATAAAATATAAGATTAAATATGTTTATAAAATATATTTATAAAAAAATAACAAGACACATATCCTATAGGCTCTCACACTCTCCCTTTTTTCTCCAAAAGCAAAAATTTTTTGCTTTTTCCAAAACCATGGTTTTGGTTTTTGGGTGGGTGTTTGGGTGATTTATTCCCCAAACATAGCCTTAAAACCATAAAATTCAAAATAGATAATTTTTTTTATAACCAATAAATACTGATATTTAATCATAAGGGATTAAGTATAGAAGATTGCTAGAAAAATTAATCTTTTGGTCCCTATTATTTTCACTCATTTGTAATTTAATCTTTATACTTTGACTTGGTGTAACTTAGTCTCTATAGTTTTGACTCGGTTGTAACTCAGTCCTTAAAGTTTCACTCGCTGCAACTCGGTTCATATACTTTTAACCATTTTATAATTTAGTCCCTCCTTTTATTATATACTACCTCTGGTCCTTAATATAAGGCTTTGTTTGACTTTTATTTTAGTCCTAAATATAAGATTCTAATTCACGTTATCTCTCATATTTATATATATTTTTTCAAGATAGTCCTTCTAACAATGATAATTCTAACCACACACTTGCTTAGCAATGATATTTTAAAAAAGGTAACATGTATTTGTTACAAACAACTAACTTAACTTCTTTTCTTAATATTTTCAAATTAGTCAGCTAGCTCTTATAATTAGAACCAGAGGTAGTATATAATTTAACTTTTTAAAAATTAAATTATAAAATGAGTAAAACTATAGGGATCAAGATGCAATGAATTAAATTTTAAGAATTAAATTACAAACATGTCAAAACTATGAGGACAAAAGACTAATTTTTCCAAAGATTACTAAAGGCCAACACTCAACTTTTTGATTACTGAAAACATTAAATAAAAATTTTAATGTCAAATAAGAAATTTTATTATTCCTAAAAGAATTAAAAATAAGTATATTTAATTGTAATTAATATAGAGCTAACTGACTCATTTGAATAGATTAAAAAATTAATTAAATTAATTATTTATAATAAATAAGTATTATCTACTCTAAAATATTTTTGCTAATTAAGTGTTATTTGATAAAATATTTGACATGAGCAATTATTATAAGAATTATTAAAAAAAATGATAAATGTAAACAATAAAATACATTTTTATTAAATACGGAGGAGATAGTATTTTTTCCGGCGGTATTTACCTCGGCTATCTCACCAAGCGCCTTGCAACGAAAATCTAATGTGAATTTAGGCCATTTTATCCCTAGCCAACTGGTGTTTGCGTATAGGCAGAGCAATCGAAGAAGATAGCTTCATCGGCTATGGCTTCTTCCGCTCAATTCCTTCACTCCTCCTTGCCTCTTCTTCCAAATCTCAGGCCCAAATACAGTCCTCACTCTTCTCTCTCTTTTCTCCCTCCTAAACCCGCCATTACTTTCCACTCCAATCCTCAATCTCTCCGTCATTTTCCACTTGTTCGTCCTGCCTTGGCCTCTTCCTCTTCCTCTGCTCTCTCGCCGGAACTGCCCCTTCAAGCTTCCCCACCCTCAACGCCGGAAATTCTCAAAGGTTCAACTCGCACTCTTGCTTCGATATTTGCCCTAGCTTTATCTCTATCTCGCGTGGTTATCAAACTGGTTCCTGGGCCGGAGCAGCTCGCTGCAATTCTTAACCTTCAGAGAAATGCTATCTCCACCGCCGGTCCTCTCTTCTTTGCGTCGTTGCGGGATCGTCCCGCGGGTTCGTTGAACACGCCGCTCACTGTTGTGGCTGCCGGACTTGCTAAGTGGCTTGACATTTATAGTGGGGTTTTGATGGTTAGGGTTTTGCTCAGTTGGTTCCCCAACATTCCTTGGGAGCGTCAGCCTCTCTCGGCTATACGAGACCTTTGTGATCCTTATTTGAACTTATTTCGGAATATCATTCCTCCCGTATTTGATACACTTGATGTCAGTCCGCTTCTAGCTTTTGCGGTACTAGGCACTCTTGGCTCAATTCTCCATGGAAGCAGCGGGTGATTGGGTGAAAAGTTCGGCTGTGTATGCAGTAATGAAATGCTGTACGCAGACTTTATTTTCAATGTTAGCTTTATCTTCCGATATTTTGTATTTCGTTATCGTAGGGATACAAGTACTTTAATAAGTTCGTCAGGATTCAATATATAAATTTTGACAGTTTTTGGCATTAGCTTACTTGATTAGTTGATTTTGGGATTTTAATCGATTGTATTTTGTTATAGCTACGCTGAATAACAGATATTTGAATATTTCTCCAATTTCTTGAATGTGTTATCTCATCCGTTTGAAGATTTTATTTATTTATTTTCCATATAGCCATGTGGTGAAGCAACTAAGAGTAATAAAACGTCTTAGTTCAACTTGGAATCTGAAAGCAGGTGTTCAAATTCTTGGACCTTTGGTCTGCACGACTCTTATCTGTCCATCAAATGTGATGTGTATCAGAAGTCAACACATAGTGTGCGTATTTATGATTACATATAACCAGAAGTTAAGGTCTTGATATTTTCCTGAGTTACTGAATTAGTTGGCAGTCAGGTCCCTTTGCTTGTGCCATTGTGCTACATGTTGTATGTCTCTGTCTCTTCATTGATTATTTTTTTTCTTTCGATTTCAAATACTGAGATTTCTGTGAGATTTTGTGTCCATTAATTATTCCAATATTGGTGTATCTAAGTAGAAAAATATATTATTGTTGTCTACTTGGTTTTTATTCCACATAAAATTTCAAGGAGGATGATTTGTGGCTTAGCTCTGCTAGAAAATGCAGCTGCGGTCATGTACTGGACAGTATGAGGATGATGGTTAGAGGTTTGGCCTTTTGATACTAATTTTGCAGCGTACTGGATCCCATAATTTCTAAACCACGTTGACAGCGATCCATTTCACTATAGTTAGTCACAAAGAAATCCACCATGGGACACTAAGAATTTATATTGATTGAATTGGCTTTTCTGTTTGGTCTCTGGTTCTCACTTGTCAATTGTGCGTCACTTTGTGAATGCTCTCTTTCTTGCTCTACATGTCAAGGACTATTTCCATAGCTTCATCATGGTTTTCCACTCAAATTCTTTTAAGGGTGTCTGTCTTGGATATGCAAAGAGACTGGGCAGCATTGCTGCATGTTTGGCTCTTTTTTTGTTTTGCTTTTTTTTTTTTTTTTTTCTGCGTTACTGCTCTGTAATTTTACTTTCTTGGAGGATTCCAAATCCTCCTCCCTTGGATCTTCTTTCTTGATCAAATCCTTAAAAAGTGAAGTTCACATCCTTTAACATGCCTGGTTTGTTCATTTTTACTGCATGTTAATTGTTGGGATTTTATGTTCTCGGATATCAGGACAACAACTTTATGCAAGTATAGAGAGGAATGAAATGGGTTCCTGTGTTGTGGAAATTGAGATGCATTTGAAGTTTATCCCTCTATTGGAAGAACATTCATGCTTTTTTCTATGTGCATAAAGTGTTGTACTCTCTCTCGCACACATAAATATACGTTGCTGTTTAAGAGTTAGTCTCTGTGTAGATATGCTGTACTCTTGCAAACGGAGAAACGAAAGAAAAGGGATAGAATGCTGTGCTACACAGATGCCCTCGAGGCAAGTTGATATGTTGTTGCTTCAGTATCTGTCTGAGGACTTATTCCTTGTGGCCAATTTTTGAAGTGCTTAAGATGGTAGAGGATAGGCTTTAAAAATTTGACATACTAGCCTTCTAAATATACCTTGGGCATTTAGCAGTTTGGATGCCCTACATCCACAAAAAATGAATGTGGAGGGTGCATACAAGGAGAGGCAGAGAGAAGAGTGGATGAGTATAATTGAGATGTACATCCCATGTATAGCCTCATTCTCTAGTGATTCTATCTTTGGATGCATGAATAGATGAATGAAAAGACTTCAATCTGGAATTCAAGAAAAAGCTTGTGAGAAGGCTGTTATTGACCAGCAATAAGAGGAAGAGGGAAGGAGAGAAGGAAGACCTGGGTGATTAGTTGGGAGGTATCTAGCAGCCTCCAAGGACCTGGAGATTTTACTTTTTTTTTTTTCTGTTTTTTTTTTCGGTCCTTTTATTTGTTAGTTTGGCTTGTTTCCTATCTCTAGATTTTATACTGTCCCATTGTTAATTCAGAATTTCTTCTCTATTTTTCACATCTCCTGTTTTCCCGAATTCTTCCATAGGATTGAGTTCCATGAACTTCAATGTGATTACGGCAGTATTATGTCTTTGCGTTTTGACGTTGTCGGTCAAATATTGTTAGTCGAAATTCCGTCTTTGCATAGGAAAATGGAAGAAGAGAGGAAGTAAATCAAATTCACACTTATATTTTGTGTAATTCACAAAGGCTGCATCCTTCCTCTCTATATATTTTTGAATCAAACGAGAAAGAGAACTTTTTTTGGTCGTTTCCCCTCCAAAAACCTCATCCAAATTGTGTTATTGTTTTTAAGCACTCATTAATAAATTGTTCATCAAGCGATTCGTGCCATGCGTGTGTGCGTATTCTGGCAGCAAATTGCTCATTATCCCAAAGGGGAGATGCTATATCCCTATATTGCTATGTACCGTGAGATGCTAGTGGCCAAGTTTCTTCAAGAAACAGTATCCTAGGATTAGATCCCAGAATGATGTGTGTGTGAACACATGCAAGTTGACCCAAGTGAAAACAAAGGTCATTAATGCACTAGACTACAAACAAACCTAAGCTGAGCATAGATGTTTTTTAATGGTTAGTCAAATTTAGGATTCTTAAACATTTCAATAGTGATTGATGTCAGCTTAGCCTTTTTGTACATTTAATTGTGTATATCTCGTGGGAAATTTGAGAAATTATGAATTTTTAGAATATAGTATATATACATATAGAGAGAGAGAGAGATGGAAAGGGTGTTTACAAACTATAAAAAGTCTGCCAGGTTCTATTCATAGAGCAGCGCTTTTTTGATGGTCTATCCCACAAGGTGCAACTTGAGGTAGGACAACATTTCAGCAGATAATTCTCATAGGCATTTGAGCCCCTAGAATCTATATATACTAGGATCCTCTCAACTGACACAGCGCAAGTTGAATGTGTCTTCTTGAAGACTTTGACGTGTTAGTGTTAAATCTAAGGAACAGTGTTTCCTCACATGGCAACTTGCATCCTTAATTTAATGATAACTTTTATTTGGTTCAATGTCTTCAAAGGATGTAATGTAAGCTACTTAGACGTGTCTTTGTCTTTGTAGATACGCAAAGCTTGCTTGTCCCGCTGCATGCATGCATACGCACATGTTGATGATGTTAATGTTGTCAGTATAATTGCAGTATGCAGGTTTGTAACCAAGGCTCTCCTTCTTCTTTCTTCAAAAGTTACCCCTCAAAGCGCTCCAATCAAATCATGCCACTCACCAGCCTGGGAATCATGACAATACCCGCATAGCATTTTACTAGTTTCACGCCTACTATCATATTCATATATAATACTGCTAGTATATGGGAACTTGCACATGCTTGTCTATATTTTAGTGTCAGGTTTTTAATATAAAATTGATTGACTAATTTGAGAAAATTAAGATAGTGTATTAAGTTAATTATTTGTAATAAATATATGTTGTTTTTTCAAAAATACTTCTACTAATCATATTTATTAGCTATAACTACTATTTAATAGAATATTTAACATATATAACTACTACAAAGACTATTTTGAAATAAATAAACAAATATGAGACAAAATGGTTAAAATCTTATATTTAAAACCAAATTAAAAGTTAAACTAGTTTTTTTTTTTTGGTACAAGTTAAACTAGTTTTTTATTTAATACACAACTAGCTCTTACATTAATGGTCGGGGGTAATATATTAATACAACCAGACATGAAGAGTGAATTGTGCAGATCGGATTTCCTATTTTTCTTTACATGGGTGAGAGATTCGTTGGTAACTGAGGTTAATTTCCTTCTGGGCATTTGAGGATGAAGGATTAAAATAGTGATTATTTCAAACAGCCTTGAATATGTTAGAAGACTTGTAGGATATTATGTGGCATGATTGGACTGATATAGACTGCAGGACATTATGCAAGGATTTTTTAAAACCCCCCCTCCCCCCCCAAAGGCTTCCACCTTTCCTTTTCCCCCCGGGGGGGGGGGGGACCAACTTCCACATTTCCATCGTATTTATAAAAAGAAGTGAAAATAATCAAGCATTTGGTTCAACCGGTAAGGAGTTGCATCAACCTAATTTGAAATCTCCAATTTAAGATTTGGGAACCCAATCATGTTAAATACTTGCCGTGAGAGCTTTGTTATTCTCTGTGATCTCATTCAGCTCGATCCAAATTAGAGTGAGGCAGGCCCAAGTCATGTGGCGGTCTTGCTTTTTTTTTTGAGTAGGCAAGCAGAGCTTGCAGGCAGGGATCAAACCCTGATAAGGGCCACCAACGGACGGCTACCATGCCACCGCGCCACACATGTGCTGGTGCAGTCTCGCTACTTCAAAGAACTACAAATGATATGAAGTACGGGCAAATAATTCGTTTGGTTTAGAGTAAATGCTACATACGAGAAAAAATGTTTAAATGTTACAATAAGGTAAAAGAAGATGAAAGAACCACATCAACAGAATAATAATAACAGAAATCAGTTAAAAGAAAAATGATATCTAGGCTTTTATAAATAGGCTTTTACTTCAAAGACACTTGCTAATTCGCTTGGTTGGAGGGGGAGGAAAAGGGAACAATTTTTAATGGATTTCCATTCCTCTCCCCTTTTCTTTCCTTATTTTCTATCAATTAAAATCTCTCATTTCCTTTCCCCATATGCAAGGACTAATCTAGTCCTGTTAATTCCTTGTTTTAATGCCTTTGTTCCTCTCCCTCTCCTACCTATTTTTAACTTCCCGTCCGTTGAAATAGTCCTTCCCATCCACATCTGTAACAATTAAACTTAGAATGATTTGGTTAAGAAACAAGACTTCCGACAGCAAATCCATAGCTTGCTTATAAAAAGTAGGAAGTAAGGTCATTTTCGTTACGAAGTATTAAAAATGAAAGATATGAATTGAAATTAAGATTGAGAAAATCTACTAAAAGAGTAGTTAGCATAAGAGATTACTTGTTTTATTGGATTAGTCAAACCTATATATAATTGGGGAATATCATTAGATGAAAGGGTATTTTCTAATTTTCCCTTTATGAGTTTGTTTAATATCATGTAACAAACAATCTCTCATACTAAGTATTCTTTTAATAAATTTTCTCAATTATAATCTCAGTCTCTATTTTTTATT